TGTTTCGTTTCATTGGCTCAGCTACATAAAAGCTAAACTTAGTGCGTTATTAGGGAGAAATTAAAATGATGGTATTCATGCATTTTTAAAAAAATTATGAATTAGTGCACTTGTAACCTGTTGACATATCCTCTGTTGCTGTATGCTAGGGGAGGAGAATTGAAATATGAATTGTACTCAGGAATGCAGAGGACAGCCATTGTGTTCAACTTTGTACGTGGGAAAACTGGGACAACCTACATTTCATTACAGGATTCTTTCAATCGTCACTACAAACCATTCCATGTGGAAAATCGTGCCTTGACTTTGGAACTTTTCCAAACCATATTCCCATGATAATGTCAACACTGTGCATTCTTTTCCTGAATAAATCCTCCAAGTCGTATTATTCCGATTATCATGTAATCGCTGCTGCTAATGGTCTTAACGCAGTGTTCAGAACTCAATCAGCAGAAACAGGTTTTTAAAAAACCCAAAAGGATGTTAACTGTTTGTCATATTTCTTTTTTCATTTCATTTTTAGTAGGTGTGAATGAGCACGGTGTGATTTTTGAAAAATTACTGAAATCAAAACTTTGCAGAATTGAGAAATCATCTGGCTCTTTAAAGATGGAGCCCTTTGATTTTAAAGCTGACTTAAGGCTTGCAGGCTGTATCTTTTTTTAAACCTTCTGACAATGTTTTTACTGTGGTCTCAGGATTTGGTAGATTAATGATGGAGGTTTGGGGGCTTTGCTTAGCATCCATGAAACCTTCACCAAACTATTGGCCTCCTGCTTCGACAGCTGTTTCCTAGGAGATCTAGCAAGAGTCAAGTGTTAAGCAGGCCAGATGGATTTTGTCCAGCCTTGGGTCAGGAACAGACTAAGCAGGTTGGGCAGGGAGGGGGGAGCCTCTTGGACACAATCCAGTCCAAGCCAGCTTTGAGGGCATACGCTTGAAGTGAGAGGGGAAATATATAGAAGGGACCTAAGGGGGTAACTTTTTTCACGCAGAGGGTGGTGCGTGTATGGAATGAGTTGCCAGAGGAAATGGTGGAGGCTGGTACGATTACAACATTTAGTTGGAGTCTGGATGGATATACAAATAGGAAGGGTTTTGAAGGATAGGGACCAAATGGGACTAGACTATTTTAGGATATCTGGTTGGCATGGATGAGTTGGACCAAAGGTTCTGTTTCCGTGCTGTATGACTGTATGATTGGTAAATATGGCTGCCATTTTTATAGCATCACATTGTGCGAGGGAGGGTGGGGTGGAGGTGCTGGGGTTGCCATTAGCTCAGTCGGCTAGATAGCTAATTGTTAACAACAAGACTTCGATTCCCATTCCTGAGGTGGTCTTGAGACCTGCGTCTTCGCACTACCCCCAAGAGTGGATGGGCAGTGGCAAACCAAGGCTGGGGAAACAAAATCAGCCAAAGCTGAAAAAAAAACAGCAGTGAGTGGGCCAGGGCTTACTCTGGAGCTGGGTGCATGTGAATGAAATGAAGGCGCAATGTGGGAGCAACCGTCAAGATTCCAATAATGTTGAACAGAAAAGGTTGATTAAAACAATGCAAAATGACATGGAGAGATTAAAGCCACATAGAATGCAGCTAAACCTGACCTGCTACTGTTGAGGAATAATTCCAGTCATAATGGGAGTTAGTTCTTTAGATGACTCGGTGAGTAAGTGTCTTGCTTCCTTGGTAAGGCTAAGGTTTTCTACTCTCTCTGTGCTCGTTTCCGCTGATCTCTGCTGCCATTGTGCTGGAAGGGCGTACAGTTGGGCTCGATAGGAGAGGGGGGATATCTGCCAGCTGATAGCTGTCTGTTCACCGCTGCTGGGTTTGGGTGGGAGCGGGATTTTCGTGCTCATTCACAGCTTCTGAAACTCACTGTCTTCAAAGGTGACACATGAATTACGGAGGTTTAGGTCATCTGCCAGGATCTGACTTGTATCTGTGAAACTTTACCAGGTATCACGAGCGCAAAGACACTAGCTTAGAGTGGAAATTAAGATGTATTTTCATAAGATAATCAGCCAGACTCTTGACGTGTTGGCGTAGGACCAAACCACTGATTTTGGTAGGGAAGGGAAACCTGAGCTCAGACAGGGAGCGGTTTGTGGTATAATATTTTGATGTTTAGACAGCTGTACCAATCCTTTTATACGTTGTGCAGTGGTTCACTTTCGAAAGAGAGGATAAATGTCTTTTCTTTCAAAAATAAATAGCAGTTCAGAGGATGAGTGAATAGCTGCTTATCATAGTTGGGTTCAGATAAGCCCAAGTGAAGAGAAGCATCAACTGACAGCATCATCCTGTGGCAGGATGGGGTTCAGATTTGTTGATGATGCCGCATGTAGTTGAATGGCCAGTAGGCACCCATTGGGCCTGAGCAGCACCAGCTGCACGCACCCCTAACAAAAAGTAAAGACATCAGAAATTGAATGCAACGTTGATTCCTGCCAAGTTGCATTCAGTCAGCTCCCTCTGGAAATGTGGAGTGGAGGAGGAGGGGGTGGGGATGAGGCATTGAAGGGAAGTTGTACGAGGTTGGCAGAGGGAAAAAGGATTGCAAGTCAAAAATAGCTCAGTCATGCAGCAAGCCTTGCAGAGCCGCACGAGCTCTTGGAACATGGGAGCTGTGCTGTGGTAAGGGTGAATGCTGCTTGTGGTCTGCTGTCAGCTTGACAATACACGGAAGCTGTGGGTACAGGAGGCCAGTTTGAGTTTGCAGGTCTGTGCTGAGCACGGGGCTTTCATATAGATCTGCTATCCTAGCTGTTTGCTGCAAAAACCACAAGCTATGCTGTGTGGTAAAGTGGAATAAGCTCAAAGTATGAGCGTAGTGACTGCCCTAACGTCCCTGGCCCCAGTTCACAGCCAGTTTGGTGTATGGAACTTTTCACTGAAATAACTGAAAGGTGCCTATCACAGCCTGAGGGGAGGCAGCATTTCTATTAATGTCACTGAGCTGCTAATACAGAATCCCAGACCAATGTTCTGGGGACGTGGGTTCGAATCCCACTGTGGCAGATGGTGACATTTGAATTCAATAAAAATTTGGATTTTAAAGAAACTAGTCCAATGGTGACCATGTGAATTGCTGTTTAAAAAAAAATGTTGATTTTTGACTAATGTCGTTTAGGGAAGGAAATGTGTTGGCTTTACCAGGGTTGGCTTATGTGTGACTCCAGGCCCACACAGTAATGTGGTAGGCTCTTAACTAAGCCCTGGGGCAATTAAAGATAGTCACCAGGGAGCAACCCCCACATCCTAAATAAAAAGAAAAGTCCCAGGAGTATATGTAACATTTTAGCATGCTGTTAACCTGTTAAGTGTGGAAGGAGCCTTTGTTACGTTTGCTTCGGAAGGGAAAGGCACTTTCTGATGATGAATTGACGGAGAGGCCATAGGCCAAGAGTATGCAATATTGCAACATGTGTTACCTCCCCAACCTTATTGCATCGAGAACTACTACCTTCAAGGAGGAACTCAGAGAGAGCGAGCCTCTCGATCAGGGAAGAGGGAGTTCTCCTCTCTTCCCCTGCAAACACGATGGGCTTTGGATCTCAGCTGGCTTTGGGGAGTGAAAACTCACTGTCTTCCCTACCAAAATCAGTGGTTTGGTCCTACACCAATGTATCAAAAGTCTGGCTGATTAGCTTATGAAAATACATCTTAATTTCCACTCTAAGTTAGTGTCTTTGCACTCATGATACCTGGTAAAGTTCCACAGATACGAATCAGATCCTGGCAGATGACCTAACCATCCATAATTCATGCGTCACCTTTGAAGACAGTGAGTTTCCATAGGATGAGAGGTTGAAATTGGTTATTCTTGTTAATGCTCGGCTGCAACCTGGCTGGAGCAAGTGGGACCCAAGGCTCTCCTTCAGGGATTAACTTCGGGCAGTGAGGGAAGGTCAGTCTACAGGGTGAGAGAGGGAAGCATCTTTATATCAGTACCATTTTCGTCAGGGAGTACTGTAGATGAAGATGTGCTTCAAACAAACTTCAGCTGATAACCTGCGCCGTGGCAGTCGTAATTAAATAGTGTAAAATTAATTTGTGTCAATTTCAAAAAGAAAACATTCTGGAATCTGCCTGCTGGTTAGACTGTTAAACAGAGTGGACCTGACTGCTACATAGCCAATGAAGTTCCTCCGTCTGCTATTTTAACAAAGGTGACAGCCTGCTTAAAGCTATTCAGACAGATTAGAGACTTCAACAACAAAAACAAAGTTGCTGGAAAAGCTCGGCAGGTCTGGCAGCATCTGTGAAGGAGAAAACAGAGTTAACGTTTCGGG